TTGATTTATTGAGGGATGAAGAACACTAAGAAGTGAAGTTGTTATAACACAACCACCAACTCCTTTCCACAGCAGGAACAGAATGCTTAGGGATGGAAAATAAACACGAGAAACTGATTGAAGTATTAAAATCTAGCTTAGTTTGATTTCCTTATTGAGTTTCATGTTACAGCTCTGGTGATCCCTCCAGAACTTCACACCTCAAAAACGGTTATAACAGCTGTCTTTTTTCACATTGATTTCATGTCTTTTTAATTTACTAATTCAGTACATAACTATAATCACTGTAAATTGTAGTATTTTTTTTTAACTTTAAAGGTCAAGAACCAATCAACACATGTTTGGGAGCGATACATTTTTAAATAAGTGTTGTAGTTATCAGTTACGACAAGGAGTAATTTCAAACTACAGTAATTTTAACAATATGACCAGGAGTGCATAAGGGTTTCTTTTCAGGTGTGTTACACTTGCAAGCTTAGAAAAAAATGAAGGGCACAACTTTCTTGATTTCTCTCAGATAATGACAAATTGGACTACTTTTGGGCTTAAGGCTTGTTCTAAACATAAATCTTCAAAGGGAAATTAAATGCTAAGAAGCCAAAACTAACCTTCCAGAAGCAAGAACATGTGACGGTTTCGAAATCAGTTGAGTAGAGCTTTCAGCAACGTCGAGTGGCGAAGCCCTCTAGCTGTTAACACTTTAAACTGTGACCATAGGCTTTTTCTCCACGGTATTTCGCTCAGGATAGGGTATTTTGATTGATGACTTCGGTGAATCAGAAGCTGCAAAAGCCAAAATCTTGAGTGACGCTCGATTAAACACAGAGAAAGACTCGCCATTACATTGGTCAAACCGTGCAGTTGAAAAGAACTTTAAGCAACTTAATGTCGAGTGATAAGGCCTTCCAGCACTTAACACTTTAAACTGTGACCATCAGCTTTTTCTCCATTCTATTCCGCTCAGGATAGGCTATTTTGTTTGACAATTTAGGTAAATCAGAAGCTACAACAGCCAACATCTTGAGCGGACACTCGTTTTGAAACAGCGAAAGACTCGCTGTGACATTGCTTAAACAGGACAGTTGAGTAGAGCTTTCAGCAACTTTATGTCGAGTGATAAAGCCTTCCAGCAGTTGACGCTTTAAACTGTTACCATCAGCGTTTTCCACATTCCGTTCCGCTCAGGATAGGCAATTTTGCTTGATGACTTCGATGAATCAGAAGCCGCAAAAGCCAAAAACTTGAGTGACGCTCGATTAGAAATAGAGAGAGACTTGCCATGGCATTCCTCAAAACCACGCAGTTGAGTGGAAGTTTCTGCAA